TTTTTTTTTTTTTTTTTTTTTTTTTTTTTCCCTACCCGTTTTTAGAAAACAGGGAAAACAAAAGAAAAAAGAAGGATGGAATCACACTTGCCTTCATTTTTTTAATAAAAAAGCCGAGCTGCATCGAGTAATCTTGTGAAGTGGCTTTAGATGATTAGTCTGCGCCCATAACCAGCTGAGAGCGTACTCACACTACGATTTCCGTGGATGTAAGCAAGTACAACTATGGCGCATTTTTTTCCGGATGTTTCTGACTGCAATTATGTCCAGATTCCGACTCCAGAAAGCAATCGAAAAAGGCCCTGTGGGCCCTGTGTAAAGTTGTCTGACTATATCCTGAAGGTGCCTAAAAAATCTCTCTTCTCTAAATGATAGAAATCATATATGTGTTGTCCTTCGGGACATCCGTTAAAATTGGAACGATACAGAGAAGATTAGCATGGCCCCTGCGCAAGGATGACACGCATAAATCGAGAAACGGTCCAAATGATGGACCAAATCTATATAATAAAAAATAAAAATAAATAAAAATAAAAAATCATATATGCAATGGTGCATCCTTGATAGGTGGTCTGCTGCATGAAGGGATTATGATAACAAGGTTGTGAATGAGTTTAGCTTATATCTTCATGCATGTGATTTTTAACTGAAACAGGCAAGGAAAGTGAAAAATGAGGAGGCATTGCAGAAATTGCGCGAGATCACAGTAATGAATGCGGTTGAAGAAGCTGCTGCTGATAAGTTTGCTGACGAAGTTGGACGAGAGGTAGAATAACAACATCGTTAATCAGATGTCTGACGTCTCCATTTATATATGGGAATGTTGTTCTGAAAACACTTGGGTGAAGTTATGTCATGTTTGTTTTAGGTTCCCAGCAACCCCAAAATCTTACCTATTTAAAGTCTGAGAATATATGTCGAGGGTGTTTCACCCCGAAGGCCTCTAATAATTCGCTTTCCCGATAAAACTGTTCAACAGCTCCAGCTATCCTGAGGGGAACTTCGGAGGGAACCAAAAGTTTGGACCATTTCTCGATTTATGCGTGTCATCCTTGAAAGCGCAGGGGCCATGCTAATCTTCTCTGTATCATTCCAATGTTAACGGATGTCCCGAAGGACAACATTTATGAACTTTTCTTTTTTCCTTTTTTGGAGAGAACCAGATCCTTATTGGCCTGGCTCCAATCCATTCTGGGAAGCGTCAGTCCCGTTCCTTTTTCCACTGGCAAGTCGTGAATTTACAATACAACTCACTCACGCTTCCTTCCGTCTGGCCGAAGGACCCCTGGTCAGCATTGATTGCTGCATGATAGGAGGATTAACTGTCAGGTTGCCACTCTCCAAACACAGGCTCAGTCTATTGGTGGGGATCTGCACCTGATGGAAAACGGGTCCCGCGTCCCTCAGAATGAGTGGAATCCAGTGGTTCAAACAGAAAGTCAAGTAGCAGCCCCGTCCCTTGCTGCTGTAGGCTCTTGCAGGTTGCCACTCTCATTATCATGTTATTTCTACTTTTTTCTGTTATATGAAAATGGTATAGCACATGGATAAGAAGACCTGTTTCATGTTCCTGGTATTACTGTTTCTCGAGTTGTTTTTACTTGGGTTTTTTTTTTTTTTTTTTAAGCTTGAAACATCGGCGAGGGTGTGGGGGGGGGTGCTGGTAAGAGCAGTCATCCCCTCTATACCCTCGATATTGGATGGCTCCGTTCCATTGGTGGGGAGCTGCACCTGCTGGAAACCGGGTCCAGCGTCCCTTCACATCGAAATCCAGAACACAGGCTCGTGTCCATTGTGACGAATACGAGACTCGAACACACGTCCAACGGCTTGGCAGGCTAACACCTAACCATAAGGCTAAGTGGGCTGGGGTAAAAGTGAAGCCGCAGGACTCAAACCTAAGCACTTCACCACACCCCAGCACGGAGATCCTGCGACCCGGTGTACCCAACCACACTCACCCCTCACAGCCACACTTCCGCAGTACAATTTCTACGGTGGTTACTGCGCGAAAGCATGTGAAGAATACGAGCCTCGAACACACGTCCGACGGCTTGGCAGGCTAACACCTAACCATAAGGCTAAGTGGGCTGGGGTGAAAGTGAAGCCCCAGGATTCATTGGTCTGGAATTGCACCTACTAACTCAGACTCATCGTCCCAAAGAATGCAATCTTTAGATTCTTCACATCATACTGGAAATCAGGTCCAGCGTCCCATTGACATGATAGCTCTCTTCCCCCCCGCCAAAAAAAAGGGCAAGCTCTCTCCTCTCTGTCAACTCTGCCTAAAAGTCCCCACACAAGCTTCAGTTAGGGCCACCTTGGAGCACTGCCTTTTAGCCTGTCCATTAGCGCCACATGTCTGGGCTTTGTGTGATGCTGCATGATATAGGACTTCTATTTCAGCCTCCACCTTGCCGTGGGGAACGAGACCCCTGTCACCAGTAGTTGTAAAACCGACTCGAGGACAAGCACCATCTCCTAAGGTAAGTACCTATTCAGACATAGGTCCCTCCCATCTGGGTTCCTATACCACAGTCTTTCAAGTTCCCTGCGTCTGTGGCTTTGCCTCCCATAGATTGTACGTTCTCAGGATGCTGGGGGGCCTGCCCAGCCTTGGTGTTTGTCACTGCTGTCTGGTCGAAGTTGCACTCAATATTGGTAGGGTGATGGTCCTGAGTGCTGGTCGCACTGAGGTAAGATAGTAGGGATTGGGGGTGCGCTGGGAGAATTAACTTGGGGAAGGGTAGGGAAGGTGGCTTATCCTGTCAGGACAACCATCGGCTGCCGCTGCCAGCGATCACCGTGGATCTGATCCTTGGCCTCTACAACACCCTGGGCTTTAAAATAATAATAATAATAATAGTAAAAGATTTCAAATGGTGCATGCACCTCCCATAGATTGTACGTTCTCGAGGACAAGCACCTTATCTCTCATTTCCCATAGAAGAAGGACAAGCTCATGCTACATTTGGATGTGTGTAGTCTTCCTGGACAATCGTCCACATATTGATTAACTTCAATACTACAGGTCTACTTAACCTCTGTTCCTCGTCGTTCAAGTGCAGCTTATGAACACAAGCGAGCTCTGTAATTTCTGCTTTCTCCTAGCTTAGCGCTAAGGCCCCTGCCTTTCGGCCATTCTCATTTGCCTCTTCTACCATCAACGTTCCTTTAGGATCTACAAGTCAAAGGCACGCAGCGGCGATGCCGCTGCAGGCGGGGCACAATGTGAGTATGTCCCAGAGGGTCTCAGTGGCAGTATATGGTAAGGATAGTCAGAGTGTGAGTGTGCCCTAAGTTGCCCGAAGTCCCAGTGTGAGTATATCCCAAAAGGTACCAGAAGTCAGTATGCCCGTAACTGCGGACAGATAGGTTGAAAAGAAATCCCCCTGTCTGTATATATATATACATATATATACACAGAGAGAGAGAGAGAGAGAGGGAAAAGTGTTTTTCATCCATAGGATGAGCAAAATGGGAACGAATTTGTCGCTAGAACATGGACATATACACTGCCACATTTTTGTTCCTTGGCAGTGTATATTTCCATGTTGTGGCAGTGGATACTTCCATGTTCTAGGGGAAGATTCAATCCATGGCTACGCCGGACCCGGACCTGGACATTTCCGGACATGGAACTGGACCCATGTCCGGTAGTTTCCGGACGTCCGGAATTCCGGACATTTCTGGACCTCCGGACATGGGGGGATCCGGACATTCCGGACGTCTGGACATGGAAATGTCCGGACCATTGGAAAAAATAAAAATAAAAAAATATGAAAGAAAAGTATGTTATGCAGATTAAAAATGCAAACCACTTTTGCCTCAGAGTCATGTCAGAATTCCTAACCAAACTTGAGTTAAAAGTCAATAACTATAAAAAATCTTAAAAAAAGACTTAAAAAACTAATAAAACGTAATTAATTATTAATAATTAAAAAATTGGGGTTGTCTAATAAATTGTTATAGATAGAGAGCATGTCCGGACCCCCCAAAAAAGCATAAATGGGCCTGAAAACCCCCCAAAACAATTTTGGGGGCTTGGCTCCTCAATGGGGGAGGGTCTGGACCATTTTATTTTATTTTATTTTTTCTTGAAATCTGGCAGATCCGGACGCCTGTACGGCGGTCCGGACGTCCGGATCATAGCCATGATTGAAGCGTGGCAATTTCGGGCTGTGTGTGTGTGTGTGTGTAGTATGAGCAAAATCGGAATGAATCTTCTGACCAGAACATGGAAATATGCACTGCCACATTTTATTTTATTTTATTAAATT